TATTTATACTATTTCCCATTCTTCTCTATAGATCAGTATGGCCATATAACACAGTCCTGGTCAATAAAATACAGGTGGAAGCTTACAATACATTATAATAAAATGTAAGTGGGAGGAGCTTCCAAGAAAGCCCATTAAAAAGGAAAGACTTCTATGGCTCAAGCCTTTTGCCCTTCCCTTTTCCCTTTCTTTATGCCTGAAACATGTGTGTGATGGCTGGTGTTCCAGCAGCTATCTTGCATACTTGAGGATAAGACCGGAAGAGTAAAAAGCTAGAAGCAACCTGAGTCTCTGAAGACACTGTAGAGCTGCTGCACTGGCCCAATACCAACAACCTCTGGACTCCTTGTTATAGGAAAAAAAACAGCTACTTTTTCAATTTAAGCCACTGTTTTGGGGGTTTGCTGCTAATTCGTCAAATGAAGGACAGGGAAAGGGGAAGAGAATGTATCTAGAGAAGGAATAGAAAGATTCTAGATTACCTTAAAACTCAAAAACAGTTTTCTTGCCACATTACCAGTTCTTGACTCATTATTTAAATAAATTGACACATTTAAAAATGCGTGATAGTCACAGGCTTTGCAGTGCAGTGGTCAGAGCAGTGAACTGGGAGAGGGGGATTTCCTGGGAGAAAGAATATGTGTTACAGGGTTGTTGTGAATGCTGGTTTAATGTATGATGCAAAGTACACAGGCCAGGTCTAGTACAGTTCCAGAAATTCCTTTCCCCTCCACCAGTGGGAGTTGTACACTTAACCATGAAAAGCACATTGAGTTCATGAAAACCCCAACTGAGTTCATGAAAACCCCACTCCTCTGTCAGGGCTGTCAACTCAGTGTGGTGTCCCTGGTTACCGCACACTAACCAGAAACTCTGAGCTCTCTTACACTCAAGAGAGAAAAAGGGGAAAGATCAATTATTAGTTAACAAATAGAATTTGTATAGCAGACAAAAACTTCCTGACCATGGGGGTGAAAACCAGTAACAGGGTCTCAGCAACGGCAACGCAGGGACTTGTGGACTCACTGACCTGGAAGCCCGTGCCGGGCTCTGGATTCTATTCTTACGGCTCTGCCTCATACAGCCTGTGTAGCCAATCACTTCCCGCCCCCGCCACAGGGAAGGCGATGGCTGGTGAGAATAATTAGCACTTCTCATTTAAAGTGCAAGGTATGCAGGCCAATGGCCAAGCGGTGCCTATGTTCAAACGACGAACAAGTGCATGGACACAGAATTGGGCGAGCGGGTACATGGGACTTACATCTTCACTCCCAATTCCCCGGGCATGAAACTCTGCAGCCACTGCAGTACTAACTGGTGAGATAGAGATTTGGGAGAACAGAAGGGCAAGAACGTTGCCTCTCCACAACCGAAATGGTAGGAAGAAGTGAAGTGGCATTGTTATTGAAAGCAAAGTCCTTCCCACCAAACTCTGAGGCTAGATCCAACCTCAAAGCTGCCATCAATTATACCCAGCTAGTCTGTATTACACCCACCAAGCCGGTGTCACACCCAGCAAGGGTCTGAGGCTGATACAGACCAGCATGGATTCAAATCAAGTGCCTGAATGGCTTACCAGCTGAACAATGCTGAGCCACGATCTTAACTCCTAAGCTTTGGTCTCCTCACCTGTGAAATGAGCATAGTGTGATCTATACCTCACGGGGCTCCTACGAGGATTATAAATGAAGTATGTGAAGCAACTTCCCCAGTGCCTGCACGTTGGTGGGTCAGCGAATGCTGCGTGAGGGCCAGCATCATGAGCGTCACTGTTCCCATGATGGCTGGCGTTACCATGGTTGGCGTTATCATGGTTGGCGTTACCATGGTTGGCGTTATCATGGTTGGCGTTACCATGGTTGGCGTTATCATGGTTGGCGTTATCATGGTTGGCGTTATCATGGTTGGCGTTGCCATCGTGGTTATTATTACTGCTGTTATTACCATTGCGGAACTATTGTCATCATTTATACTTAAAGCTCTCTAAAGGAGGTGGCTTCAAAGGTTTCCTTTTGCCACTGAAGTTGGAAACCTTTAACCTCTGGATGCCCTGCTTTATGTCTAATCTAAATTCTTGTTTCTTTCTACAGTAGAAGTCCATGATTTTTCCAGCTCTGACTTCACCAGTAGTAGAATCACTCTGATCTATAAATAATTTATTTAACAATGAAAACATTTATACAGTGCTTTGAGGTTATCAGCTTATAGAGTTGAAATCTGGGTCCCTAGTAGACTGTTTATAATCACCCCACGGTTATTGATCTTCAAGTTAAATGGTTGGTCACGACAGGATGTTTCCAAAGGTTAAACCCAACAAGTCACTAGAAGGGAAACCAGTAGACTATTTGCCTAACTGTGCTCACAGGGAACTGACTGTTAGTCTCTTGAAATGACAACAAACCTCTTCCCCTGCATATCGGTCCTCTAGTGGCTTCTGTTTCCTTTCCCCACCACTGGCACATCTCGGGAAAGCCAGGAAACAGGGAGGCACCACCATGAAGCAAGGGCAGAACGACCATTCCTGTGGCTGCCCCTCAGGTCGGCTGGAATGCAGAGACACTCAGGGGGCAGAGAAGGGAGCTAGGGTGGGTTTGCCACAGAGAGGTACGGGAACCGGCTTCATGTTCAGGGATTCCAATGGGCTTCTGAAACACCTGCTTCCCTCACTCCTCAGGTTGCCACCTGAGTCCATTCAGGGCCCGCTGGGGATTCTAGTTACTCAAGTTCATCAGGTTCATCCGTTCATTCAGCCAACGCTTGCCGGGCCGTACTATGTGCCAGACACTTGGGATACATCACTGTCCAAAAGAGATACCAATGTCCACCTTTGGAGCATACGTCTTAATGGAGGAGGACAAGCAAACAAGCAAAATAAAGAAATGAACTAAAGAACTGTAGGTACAATGTGGGTGGCAGTTGGTGACAGCGCCGTGAAAAGAGAAATAGGGTAAAGGAGATCACGGGGGTGGAGGTCAGGCCGTGCTCACCACGGGGACGTCCGGCTCGGACCAAGGCTGGCAGGCGGTGAGGGGAGAGCAGGAGGCCGGTGTGGCTGCAGCGTATGGACAAGGGGGGCAGTGAGAGTTGGGGTCAGAGAGGTGATGGGTGGCTGGGTCGTGGGCCTTCTAGGACTCTGGTTTTTATACGAGTGATGGGGGGGGGCCATTGGAGGGTCCCGAGCAGGCGTGGCCCGCTCTCACTGACTTGTTGGAGGGTCCTCCGGGCGGCTGAGCTGCGACTAAGCTGTAGCTAGCAGGGCAGGAGCAGGGGAGGGCGGGGGGGCGGGGGCCGCTGTAACAGCCCGGGAGAGGGCGGCTGGCTGGGAGCGGGGCTGGCGAGCAGGTGCTGTATCCTGGGGCGAGTTCAAGCGGCCGACAGGCGCGGGTGACGCGCTGGACGTGGATGGGAGAGAAAGAGGACAGTCAGGGAGGACTCCGAGACTCCAGGCCTGAACCACTGGCGAAGAGGCTGCCCCAGGCTGAGAACGGAGCGGCTGCTGGCCGAACTTTCGGGAGAGTGCTCTGGGGCAGGACCTAGCCACGTGAACGAGGGAGCCCCTGGCTCATCGACAGCCTACGAAGCCTAAGGTGGAAACTGCTCGGCTCAGCTGACGGACCTAAAGGTGCTCTCAGGTGAACAGGTGAGAAGCTGGCCTCAGAGTCCCGGGTGTCAGTCCCAGCTTTGCCACCACCTACAGCCCTTCTCGAAGGCAGCCGCTTTCCCCCTCTGGAAAGTCAGAGGCAGACGGGTTGATGCCTGATTTCCTGTGAACCTGTGAACTGACTCTGTGAATCAAGACCGCTGAGCACCGTGGTCATTCGAGACTGTTGTGCGTCGGGGCCAGGACCGCTGCCAGGTGGCTCGGGGCTTGAGTCTAGGACCAGGCGCCCTGGGAGAGTTCCATGATTCCCGCCCATTTAGCACCCTAGCCCCACTGAAGTTGCCCCCATCGGAGTTAGCAGTGACTAATTATCAGCCCTGGTCCCCCAAACCGAAATCTAGGAACCATCCTTGAGTCTTTCCTCTCCCTTACCCATTACCCCCATTTCTCCTCACCATGCCCCGTACGCTCGCAAACATCAGATCCTCCACTTGGTGTATTTTGTGTGGGGAAGGGGAGGTCTGGACTGTTTCGACAGCCATCTAATCCCATCCCTGTGCCTCCAGCCGGCTCCCTCATCCATCCATCCTCCACGCGGCCGCCGTCAGGAGGCTTGGAAATAAGATACGGAAAGTGCCTAATACAGCACCTGGCATGGGGGCAGGCGCTAGATAAATTGTAGCTACTAATACAATTGTTCTCTTCTTGGAAATATATTTCACTGCCTTCTTCTAAATTTGTCCACGTGGACACTGCTACCTATCAGCTGCAATGCTTCCCTTAAAAATAGCTGAAGATGGTTAGCTAGAGGGATCATAATAGGAATTTTAAGCAATCATTTAAATTAGTTCCTGAGAAGTCTATGCAGAACCCTTCAAACGGAGTCCTTTCTGGCAGAACCTCGCCAGTTCCCACAAGCGCATGCAAATCAGCACTCTGAGCCTCGCATTTTCCCTGCCAGGTTTCTTCCCCACTTACCGGAGGAACAAACCACAGCTCTGTTATCACAGCATGGCGGGGACCCCTTGCTGGCAGGCATGGGGGCCCGAGCAGCTTAGCTCCCGCCTGCACGCCGCCCCACCACACGCAGGGAGACAGGTACTCAGTGGATGGCCAAAGAATGCGACAATGAACGCTGTGCTTGGAAAGTTTAACTATCAAAAGCCGGCCACATCCATATGAAAAGCATGCTCTGAGAAACTTGCCAAAGACATTTTTGGCCAGAAGAATCCTTTTCAATTGTTGAAAGATGCCTAGAAATGAATCTGCTTTGCCCTGGAATAAACCCTTAATGAAAACACTTAATGTCTATCCTTTAAAGCATGTTCGTATAAGAAAACGGGTGAACTTCTTCAGGAAAGGAGGAAACACAGAAACACAAAGAAACCCATTCTCCTACCTTCTTGAAGTCATGCACATTCATCTTGCCATTAGGCTCCTTGCTGAAGTCCGGAAATCGTTTTCTGAATGCTGGGTCCTGCTGCCGTATACAGTTTTTGAGTTTTTCAATAACCACATCCTTGGTCATATTCTTGGTCACAGCACTTTTACTCTCAGTGGGCTTGGCTCTAAAATCACAAGCAGGCACACAGATGCAGCAGAGCACTTCCTATAGACCTCACCCATGTACGGTTCAACCCAGGACAACAAGGGGGTTTACCATCCCCTTTTCACAAAAGAGGAAAGAGATGCTGAGGTCGATGGAGTGACCTGGGGACTTCTTACACACCCATGGCTTGCAGGTTCAGAGACAGGCCAGCAGCACTGCGTCAGGTAAAGCTCTCCCTGAGATGCCAGCACGTGGCAGCAGGCCAGGGTGGGGAGCTTCAGAGAAGGGGCTGCTGTCATCCTTGTGCTAAGATTTTCAGCTGTGCTTTGAGCTGGCTGAATGTGGTGTGTGACTGGGAAGACATGGCCGAAAAAAGATATTTTTGTGAACTGGGAAAATGAAAAGTCAGAGCCTATTATAGGCCTTAAATTAAATAGGCTGTTTTGTGGTAACTAGATCAAAGAGGTCATCAAACAGCTGTGGGAAGGAAGGGACGTCCACAATTAAACCAAGTTGATTCACAAAATCAACTTAATTTATAAAAGACAGATCTTACGTGATGTGCTCTGGGTCTGAGCGTGAGAATGTACGTGTCATTGAAGGATAATTATTCTTCAGCTCTCCAGAAGTCTCCTGGACCCCGTTTTGACAACCATGAGATAGTCCTGGAGAACAGAGTTCTACTCCTTTCCTGCTGCTTCTGTCGGCTTTAGGAGCTCTCCAGGAATGCCCACATTTTATGAAATGCTTAATTGCTATTACTTCTTTCACTGGTTTTTAGGAGGCAGACATATCTCATCACAGAATATTTAACCTTTCTCTTAAAATACCATCTTTCTGCCCATTCATAAAGCAGCTACTACTGAAGTGCCCAGATATTCAAATTTCATTAGCATAGCATTAAAATATTCCCATTGCTCTACACTTAAGAATTTTTGAAAGGGGATATGACAACGTGAAGCCGGCTGAATAGTCCTACATTTTACCTCTCTTTATGGATTTTTTATAAGCTATGAACAAGCAAGTTAAAATAATATCTTTTCATTAGATGAAACCTATATTTTTCAAAATGAAGAGCTCAAATATTCATCAGTCTGACTTTTAATAGATTTACTAAGTATGTTTTATTGTTACAATTCAATTTGGCAATCATTTAAATAATTCTATCATTCATGTTAGAAAATGTTAACCAGTTTAACGAGTATATTTTGCAATAAATATTAAACAGTGGTAAGGAATCTAAGTTTCTGGAGAAGAATAAGTGTGAACGCAGGTACCTAATAGTTGAGAGGCAGGCGGGTTCTCTGGGAGTTGAAAGTCCTGGGTCCTTCCCGCAGGATGAGCACCATGCTTGTGAATAACCCGAGGTAAGTCCCCAAATCTCTTAGGTCTCAGTGCTTTCAATTCTAGAATTAATAGGTCAATGCAGTAATTCCTAAGATCTCTGCTGCTTGCTCTAAAATTCCCTGACCTTAATCACTGTTTTTACAGTTTGCCATCTTTCTTATTTAAGTCATAAAATATTTAAATATTCAGTCAACAAATACTTATTAACTATCTACACTGCAATAGTCACAGTGGGGTTTTTTTTGTTTGTTTTGTTTTGTTTTTTTGCGGTACGCGGGCCTCTCACTGCTGTGGCCTCTCCCGTTGCGGAGAACAGGTTCCGGACGCGCAGGCTCAGCGGCCATGGCTCACGGGCCCAGCCGCTTCGCGGCACGTGGGATCTTCCCGGACCGGGGCATGAACCCGTGTCCCCTGCATCGGCAGGCGGACTCTCAGCCACTGCGCCACCAGGGAAGCCCAGGCACAGTGGTTTTAATGAACGCTTTCATTTTGCTTTATTTTACGTCTCAGAAAGATCTGGCTGCTGCCGCTCCCCTGTTTGAAGATGTTCATTTAACAGCTGATCCTTTGGAATAGGAACTGGAGAGACAGTGGGTGGGCCATTAATTCCTAGGCATGCCAAAAGTTTCTTGTAAATGATTCTTCCTGAAGCAATATCCTGAAACTTACTGCAGAGTCTGAATTTCAAAACTAATTAGAACACACCCATTAGAATGGCTAAAAGAAGACTGACCCTACCAAGTGCCAGAAAGGTTGTGGGTCACTATGACCCTCCTCCACTGCTGGTGGGATGCAAAATGCTGCAGCCACTTTGGAAGACACTTTGGCTACTGAATATCCACTCACCAGAGGAACCAGCTGTTCCAGCCCTAGGCGCTTAGCCGAAAGAATAAAAATGTATGTCTACACAAAGACGTGTAATACGTGTGGCTTTATTTGTAATAGCAAAAACTGGGAAAAAACCAAATGTCCATCAATAGGTGAATGGATCCACAAAGTGGGGTAAGGCCATGAAACAGAATTCTACTCAGCAACGACCAAGAACCATACAACAACGTGAGTGAACCACAAAATCATTATGCTTGGTGAATAAGGCCTAACAAAAAAAGAGAACATCTTGTAGCCTTCCATTTATAGACGATCCTAGAAGATGCAAAGTCATCTGTAGTGACATGGTGCTAGGTGGGTGGAAGAGATGAATTGCAAAAGGGCACAAGAAAGCTTCAGGGGGAATGAAAAAGTTTGGTATCTGGATTGACAGCGTGTGATGGGTTCACAGAGATATATACACATGATGGATTTCCTCAAATTGTATTATTTAAATATGAGTAGTTTATTGTCTGTAAGAATACTGCAATAAAGATATAATAAGTGTAAAATAAAGAAAAAATTTCGTGAGAAATTTGGCATGGAATTATGGAAGTACTTTATTGGAATTTGGGGATATGCAAATATTTGAGAAAAACATAGGAAACCACTAATATGGCAGGATCATTTTCCAACATTTTGTTTGTTAATATTTTTCTAATCATAAAGGTTGTACGTGCTTATTGTTGCAAACTTGGTAAAGGCTGAGACCCAGGAAAAAATTCCACAGATCCGTTAAAATGCACAAGGCTTAGAGCACAGTAGGTGTGGGTGTGAGCCCTGGATTCTGCCTCCCGGGGTCTGGATATCGGCTCCATGACTGAAGGCGGGCTTCACGGGGTCTGGTCCGCGGACACTTCCCCGGCACAGTGAGGCCACGACTCTTTTCACATGAATACACGCTGTCATTTGTCTCTTCCACCCTGAGTCTCTGGTGCGTGTACAGCGGACTTTCCAGAGGCTGCAAGGCATGTGACCATTCCTTGCTCCGACCGCTGGTGGAGTGTGTGCTCGTGTGGGCTGCGCTCACTAACATGGTCTAAAGCTGCAGAAGCGTGTAGGGTTTCCATGAGGAGCTGGAGTGAGCTTTAGGAGCTCAGCTCAGCTCAGTTTCTTTCTTTCTTTTTTTTTTTTTTTACATCTTTATTGGAGTCTAATTGCTTTACAATGGTGTGTTAGTTTCTGCTGTATAACAAAGTGAATCAGTTATACATAGACATATGTTCCCATATCTCCTCCCTCTTGCATCTCCTTCCCTCCCACCCTCCCTATCCCACCCCTCTAGGTGGTCACAAAGCACCGAGCTGATCTCCCTGTGCTGTGTGGCTGCCTCCCACTAGCTATCTATCTTACGCTTGGTAGTGTGTATGTGTCCATGCCACTCTCTCGCCTTGTCCCGGCTTACCCTTCCCCCTCCCCGTGTCCTCAAGTCCGTGCTCTAGGAGGCCTGCGTCTTTATCAGATCAGCTTCTTTACAGCACTTTACTAGCTCCTTACGAGCTCGCATTGTTTATCCCTGCTCTAATTTCTGTAACCTCTTTATTATCCAATAAATCCTTATCTTGAAATCCCGAAGTTCTTCCTGAGCCTACAGGGAAACACAAGTAGTAAGAGCACTCTCATTTTCTGCAATGACAGGTTAAATGCCTCAGTTTTAGCTTCTCACACAGTAAGTACTGGCAGACACACTTCATACAACAGAAACCCTTTGAGGTCCTCGATAACTTTTAAGAGCATCAAAGGGTCGAGAAGCTCTGACCAGGGGCACGTGACCCTTTCTATGCTTCAGCTTCCTTGTCTATAAAATGCACATAATGAAAGTCCCCACCTCAGAGGATTACTGTAAAAATTCCATAAGAGGATCGGCGTAAAGCTGTTAGCACTGGGCTGGCCTGCTGCATGTATCTGTGCTCAATGAACCACAGCGGGAATGCCAGGATCACAATATCACGATGACATGCATGTAGCCAGCGGTTAGAGCATGAGCTCCAAACTACGCTTTGCTCAGTAAGTACTAGCAATTGTTATAATTGCTTCAGTAATACTCTGTGATGAGCACTGTGTTAAGTATTATAGCCACAACTGTGAGAAAACCAAAGCAATGCCCGCCTCATGGAGCTGCAAGAGGCTGGGAAAACGCTCATTCTGAACCGAGGGAACAGATCACTGAAAAGCCCAGAGGCAACAGAGAGCTTGGTGTTCTCAAGAAATAGGAAGCCAGTCAGCCCAGCTGAGCTGGGACCTGCAGGAACAGCCGCAGCATACAAGAGCTTCCCATGGGCTTGATACTGGCTGAGAGGCTTCATGCCTATTACCTCATTTGATCCTGACCACAACTCTCTAAGTAACATTTGCAGGAGGGAAGAGGCTCAGAACTTGCCCAAGTTCACAGCTAGCTCCGGGCCGAGTTGGGATTTGGACCCAGGCAGTTTGGCTGCAAAGCCCGAGCTCTGGAGAGGCTTTTTCCTTTTTTTTAATTAATTAATTACTTTTATTTATTTACTTTTGGCTGCGTTGGGTCTTCGTTGCTGCATGCGAGCTTTCTCTAGTTGCGGCGAGTGGGGGCTACTCTTTGTTGCGGTGCGTGCGCTTCTCATTGCGGTGGCTTCTCTTGTTGCAGAGCACGGGCTCTAGGCGTGCGGGCTTCAGTAGTTGTGGCACTCAGGCTCAGTAGTTGTGGCACGTGGGCTCAGCAGTTGTGGCACACGGCTTTAGCTGCTCCACGGCATGTGGGATCTTCCCGGACCAGGTCTCGAACCCGTGTCCCCTGCATTGGCAGGCGGATTCTTAACCACTGAGCCACCAGGGAAGCCTCTCTGGAGAGGTTTGAGGATCCTGGTGGGCTGGGAAGCCACGCTCTGTTAAAGCATCTGGTATCTCCCTAATGGCAAGAGGACACCCAAATGCTTCAAGCAGGGTTTTAACGTGATCGTCTTTGTAGTTTAGACAAAGACTGGCTACGTAATGGAGAAGAGAATCCGGGGGCTTCCATCTCAAATATCCAATTGCCCGCACAAGCAATCCACTTCAGTTCACTCACTCATTCATTCATTCATTCATTCCGTCGCTTGGCACTTAAGATGCCCTGTCCATGAGCCGGGTACGGTTCCACTGCTAGGTGCCGGGACTTTGGGAGTGAAGAGACAAAGTCCCTGTGCTTTACATCCTTGGTGGGTGGCACAGGTAATAAACATCAACAAATGACAAGAGCCATGAAAAATGGAGCCGGGTGACAGGTAGAGAGTACCTGGGAGGTGGGGTGGAGGGGAGGTGGAGAAGGAGGTGAATAGAGTGACCTGTCACTCTGGGTGGTGGGGTGTCACCAATCTCCTCTCCAGGTTAACATGTCCAAAATGGAACTTCTGATTGCCAGCCCTGAAACTCTCCCAGCTCAGGTGACAATCCTGAGTACCCAGATGCTCAAGCCGGAAGCCGGGGCTCATCCTTGCTTCCTTCCCTCCCCACCCCAACGCACGCCCCTGGCCGTCCAAACACACCCTGAACCTCCACGTGAGCTCACGGTGTGTATTCGTAGGAGAACTGCAGAGATAAAGGGTAGCTCCATCGGCGGGGGCGGGGGGCTGGCGGTTCTTATTACATCAAGCTGATTTCCAAAGGGGCTTTATCATTTACACACCCACAAGACACACATGAGAGGACCAGTTTCTCTACCTCCCTGCTCTATCTTTTAACGTGTTTGCAAATTTACGATTCTTTTCCTTCAAGTGATATCTAACATAGTTCGTATTTCCTTCTACTTATTAACCTATATTTTAAAGCGATAGCAAGTCTCAGGCTCAGAGTCCTTGGCAGACAGAGGCATCTCATGAGGATTTAATCATACTGTTTTCATGAAATGCAGTCTTAGTGTAGCCTCTTTATAGCACGTGAGGATGTTTTTACACGTATGGTGGTAAGAAAAGCCTTTAAAACATTAATATACCTCAGAAAAAGAAGAGTTCATATAAAGAAAATAAAATGTACTCAGGTAGACCATGAGTGCCCAAAGTTTGGGCGACATCTTCCTTTTTATGGACAAGTAAACAGAGACCCCCCCAAGAGGTTCCCCTCTCTTGCCCCTTGGAAGTTGCAGTTTCCCAGGGTTCCTATTCCTTCTCCAACCTCCCCCTCAGCTGATGATCTCACCTCCCCCTGCACCGAGGAAACAGAAGTCCGGAGGGTGGGACTCCTAGGTTAGCGCCCACGCCCACCCCTCTTCCTGGCCTGGCTCCATCTATCAACACTTTTTCTCTCCAGTCTCTGGCTTTCCACTAACTTCTCCTCCCAGCCCACAGACAAGCACAAAGCCTGTCTGTGAAGCAGGTGAACCCTTTCTCAGCACTGCATCCTCCACTCCACAAGCACCCCTGGCACCTGCTGGGGGGTCCATCCGCCCCTCCCAGCCCCGGCCCCTGCTCAGCCCACCTGCTTCCCGTGCGACGTCGGACCTGGCTGGCCTCCTCCTGCCCCCTTAGCCCCAGGCACCGCCCTTCCTGTCCCCTTGCCCCAACCTTCTCGGCCTCCTTTGCTGCTGGACCAGCCAGGGCCCTGGTTGTCTGGTGGTGCTCTGCCAGGTCCCACCTGCAGCCCTCTCACCTCAGTCGGTCACCCATCCACCCCGGACAAATGCTTGCTGAACGAATGAACGAACTGTCGGTGTGAGGACACTGGAGTCTCATCACGGCCCAGACTCCTCTCTGAGCCCCACGGCCTCCCGGAGTCTTTTCCCCATGTTTTCACCCCGACTGGCTGACTCCTTCTGTGTTCTCTCACTGGCCAGCAGCCCCTGGCATCACTGCAGACTCCTTTCCCTCCTCTGCCATCAGCCTCCCGGTCCAGAGTCACCAGGTCTGTCCTTCTACTGCCCAGACTTATCCCAAGTCGCCCCCTGCAGTCCTCTGCCGCCCCCTCCTTTCAAGCCCCTTCTTTCCCTCTCTCCCCATTATGTCTGCTCTCCTCACTGGAGCCAGAGCAATCTTTATCCATCAGGGTTTTCAAAGCCCTCTGGGTGGCTCTCAGACCCTGTGGAGAACCCTGCCCACCGGGTGAATCCAGTTCTATAGTGTAGAGCCACAGTCCCTCCCGCCCGCCCTTTGGTACCGTGCCCCTGCCGTCCTCCCCACCACACTCCTGCCCCAGGTGTCCACGTGAATGTGCCGTGGGCCCCTAGCCCTCTGGGCTTCCTCCTGCTAGCCTACAGCCTGAAATGCTCTCCCCTTTCTTCTCCAGATTCAAGCATCACATCCCTGGGGAGCTTCTCACCTTCCATGCCATGCCCCCCCGCCCCATCCTCCCGGCTCTAAGTGTCCTTCAAGAATTGCACACGGTCCTCTGGGCCCACATGCCATGCGGGGTGCGTCTGCATCGGTTTCCCTCACATTAGACCACTCTGTAAATGAAGGGGTTTCTGTAAACCTATTAACAGGACGGCCAGGATGCAGGAGGCTCGCGCAATACTCCTAAGTGAAAGACCAAGTGGAGGAAGAAGTGAACCGCCCTGCCAGTCCTGGGCTCCACTTCCCTCTCCCTCTCTCCCTCTCCCCGGACCACGCGCAGCAAAGCCACGAGCCAGCGAGCGACTGAAGCCCCTGCAGACACGGACAACAAGGTGGCCTCCCCGCCTTGCCCCACTGCCCAGCCCAGGCCCTCGCCCCTCCCTGAGCTCCTCCACAAGTCCCTCCGGACTTGCTGTCACCTGCTTCTCCCCTGTGCCGTGTTTCTTCCACCCACTAGCGAACTGATCTTTCTGCAAACGTTCCGTAAACTGGATGAATGCAAACACCCGGCCTGGCACGCCAAGCTCTCTGCAAGGCCCTCTTGCTGGGGAAAGCCTAGGCCTCCCCCTTCTCTTCTTACAAACCACAGGAGAAACGGGCTATGAGACATGAGTGTTCACAGAAGGGAGATTCAAGAGGCCAACAATTACCAATAAGATCAGCTATGTTTCACGTCACTTTAAGTCAATGTAATGTAAAGAAAAACAATAAAGATTTTTAACATACCAGTCGGAAGGAATGAGAGAATCGCTGTGATTCCACTGGATTTCCACCCACAGTGATCTCCCAGATCACTGCCCACACGCTGGGAAACACTGGCCCCCGTCCCTGAGGCCGTGCAGCTCTGAGTCCTGGGACAGCAGCAAGTGGGTGGCAGGTGGCGTGTCGGAGGCGTCATCCCCTGCAGAGTGCCGGCTCGGCCTGCAGGTTGTCAAGGTCATCTGCAGAGAGGGAATGCCCCAAGGGGTGTGGAGGGTGAAAGGGACACCAGGCAGGGGACCCCTGGGACCTTCAGGACACCGTTCTCTTCTTTCTCTAATATCCCTGTCACCCCCTCCCCGCTCCCCAGCTTCGGCTCATCCATCACAAATTAAGTTTTAAACTAGAACGAAAGAAAAGTATAATTCAAGTTACCATTTATGGGCTGGCTGATCATAGCCAGACACCCTGGGAGGTTAAATGGCGTAACAATTAAGAGCATAGGAGTCATGCAGACCAGAGGTAGAACCCAGGCTCCACTGACTAGCTGTGTGACGCCAAGGAGGTGCTTAACGTCTCCAGGCCTCCATTTCCTTATCCACGAAAGGAACTGTCATAGCTGCCCTACACGCTTGTGGTGAGGACTACATGACAGCATATATGCCAGACTTTCAACCAACGCCTGATGCTCAGTACAGACTCAATACATAGGAGCTATTATCAGCACTACCTACTAACATGGCAAAAAAAAATATGTAGAAAAAGGTTTAAAACTGTAAAACAGACTTTATGGAAAACACGGCATGAATTAATTTTGTTACTAGAAAACTTACTTTACTAAATGTTCGGTTGTTAAAAACGGGCAGAAAACGTGCATGATTTTCTTGAAGTTATTTCGCTCAATGAGCCCTGTGTCTCCAAGGTCATGTGACCGCAGCATATTATAGAAAACTTGTAGATTCCTGGAAATGGAGTCATGAACAATTTCTTCCACCTAACAGAAAAAACGAACATATTTACCAAGCTGCACGTTTGTAACCTGGGGTGGTAGCACCTTGGGGCCACATAGAAAAGCGTTACTTACTGAATCCCAAGCCAGGAAGAGAGGTGCCTTGGTGTCTTTACAGGAGGATGTTTTGCTTAGCTAATTGGGAAAGAGAAAATATATAAATACAAATCACTCATAAAGGCAGTAGGAGCTTTGGAGGCAGGTGGACTTGGATTGTGAGTTTTGTCCCTGATTATTAGCCAATAGCTTTAGACCTTGAGAAGTGAGTTTGCTCCCCACCCCCAATCCCCATCTGGAAATGGGATAGTAACATTTAACTTGTGCTTATTTTTAAGAAGTACAGGAAACATGAAAAAATCCATCACCTAGAAATCAAATAAATGCAAAGTGAAAGAATAATGAGACGACATTTTTGCCTATCAGAATGGCAGAAATAAAAAGGAAGCAAACTGCTAGTGTTGAAAATGGGTAACATCAGACAATTTGATAATCTACAGCCTCTAGAGTAACAGTGACTGTCTCTGGGGAGCGGCTGGGGACAGAGGTAGAGGGAAAACTCACTTCCACTGTATTCCCTTCTGCATCTTTTGCATTTTGTACTTCATACATATATTCAGCTTTTAAAATAATTAAAATATTATATAAAATTTTATTCCATTTCTGGAAATTTATACTAAAGAAATTATCACAGGATGATTAAAAAAAGGAGGCAATACAATATTCCTTGCAGCAAAATTTATAAAAGGAAGAAAAATGAACACCCAGATTATAAGAGCAGGGAATACGCTGCCTCTTTTAATATTACATAGCAGAATTTTTACTGACACTAAGGGTTAACAATACGTTAATCAACGACAAACTAAAAAGTCACTAATTATGTGGTCTCATTTTAAAATAAAAACTATATATGAAAGTATACATATATCCAGTTCATCAAATTATATACATTACATACGTGCAGTTTTTATATATCAATTATACCTCAATAAAGCTGCAAAAAATGATATGCCTGTGTAGGTATAAAGGTTTGGAAGGATATGCAACAAAGTATAAGAGTGAGTAACAAGGTAACACAATTCCTCAATGTTAGAATTAGCAGTGATCTTAAGTTTCTTCTATTTGCATATCTCTGCCTTCTACCGTTTCTAATTCACTTGTTTATATTAACATGTGAATTTATTTACATGCACTCAACAAACTGCGCTGCTGGCACTGGGCCATGCCTGTGGGTACAATGGGCAGTACAACCAGAAAGGCCTCCGCCTTCCTGGAGGCACGACGACGACATCGTGACAGAAGCGTGACCCTGTGACTGTCACAGGTGTGTGAGGTCGATGCCTGCAAGACAGCCTTCATCAGAGGGGGCAGGGAGGGTCCCTGGAGAATGGGCCCTGGACCAGGGCGCGGGAAGGGGATCCTGGCAGGAGCTGCACTGCCGAGGATGGCGGCGGGAACCTGGGGAGCCCGAGGACCCGAGCGGTGCGGCCTTGAGGAGACCCCGTGAGAGGCGGCAGGGCTGGACCACGTGGCACCCCATCAGCTACGTGGGGAAGTTCTGCTTTATCCTGCGGGTCCCAACGCCATCAGAGGGTTTGCAGCCTGGAGGCTGACAGCATCTGACTTAAGAGTAGGCAGAGACCACGCTGCTGGCCACATGGAGAGCAGACTGCTCACATGTCTGTATTTCTGTTTTTAAAGAAAACAAGGTGGCTATGTGCAGGGCTGCTGTGACAGTCAGAGGTGATGATTTACAAAAGCTAACACAGGGTCTGTCCCACAGCAGAATTCTGGAAAAGTTGCAGCTCTTCATTTCTGCGTGTAAAAGGGCGCTGGGACTCACTTTTGAATCAGAGTTCAAGAAGGATCAAGTGACATGGTTTAGGATGTGCACAAGGTGGGCATTCAGGAAGCCATAATTTTTTTTTTTTTTTTTTTTGCGGTACACGGGCCTCTCACTGTTGCGGCCTCTCTTGTTGCGGAGCACAGGCTCCGGACGCGCAGGCTCAGCGGCCACGGCCCACGGGCCCAGCCGCTCCGCGGCATGTGGGATCTTCCCGGACCAGGGCACAAACCCACGTCCCCTGCATCGGCAGGCGGACTCTCAACCACTGCGCCAGCAGGGAAGCCCAGGAAGCCATAATATTGAAACCAAAAGCTAATCTGTACCTGGTAAAGAAAGTCTTTAACAAACATTTCAACGAGACTCTGTTAGTGCTTACTGCACACATTATCTGAAACTAATCTGACTTTTTAAAGTTCTTAAAATGTTAAAATGATAATAGCTATTAAAGTTATAGAAGTATTTTTAATAATAAAACCATCAACTTTTCAGCCAAAAGAAATAAATACTAAAAGTAAGTGTTTGTCACTAGAGGCAATAAGCAGTTTGTTTTTGTTTCTACTGCAAGACATGATTGCAAGAGCAGTGCCGTTGCAATGCTGGGAAAAGGAGTCACATCCAGCATATAAAGTGCTGTCACTCAAGGAAAAGTTTTCAGAAATGTCGAAGAGCATCCTTCAATGAGATTTAAAAACTCAAAGTTAAGCAACTTTTAAACACAACTCTTACTTAAAAATTAACGCAGCTGAAAAATGTGCTCATCCATTTATTTAAACCATATTTCACCTGCATCTCTTATTTCACTAAGAACACTTAAGTTGCCTGCCATAAACAGAAAAGCAAACCTGAAGTCGTTGTAAAACTCACCTTAGGGTTCTCTTCAAGCAGTTCAATAAACGTGCTGACGTCGACCCATCCGGTGCACCCAGGGTCAAGCGTGTGCACTAGTTCTTTGAATTCTGAATCACTTATTTTTACAACCATGCAATTTAGAATATGTCGCAATTCTTCCCCTGTTATATGCCCGTCAGGTTTCTGAGCATGAGAATATATAAGGGAATTTTTTAAAAAGAAAAAAAAGGAAGCAAGAGCATTACGTGTATTTAGCAGCACTTAATAAAGCATGAGTTTGGGCCAGACAGAATTACGATTTGAAACACGAATACCTCAACTGATGGTCATTACTGTATAACCCATGTGCCAAGAGTGGTGGGGGGAAGGGAATCTGGAACTTTGCAAGTGCAGTTCCTACAGGGTTCTCTGTCAGGACACGACAGGAGACAGTCTCAAGAGAGGAAGGAGGCTGACCCTTTTCCCAGGACAGGCTGAATGCTGGCACATTCACAGGGCACCCCAACCCACCTGAGGGCCCCACGGCTCAGCCTCATGGGGCACAGAACTTCCTGGAAATTCAATTACAACTAGCCGATTCACTAAGAATATTAACCATGCTCGTTTTCACTACCACCAACCTCATCACTTACATAAATGTACAACTACTTAGTGAGAAAAAATTTCAGCCATGCTGCATAAAGAAAACATTATGAGCAAAATACCGCGAGGCAAATTTCTTCCCCCAGAATAAAAAATTACCAATAAGTAAATTGAATATCAAAACTGAGAGAAACTGGGCTTCCCTGGTGGCGCAGTGGTTGAGAATCTGCCTGCCAATGCAGGGGACACAGGTTCGAGCCCTGGTCTGGGAAGATCCCACATGCCACGGAGCAACTGGGCCCGTGAGCCACAACTACTGAGCCTGTGCATCTGGAGCCTGTGCTCCGCAACAAGAGAGGCCGCGATAGTGAGAGGCCCGCGCACCGCGATGAAGACTGGTCCCCGCTCACCGCAACTAGAGAAAGCCCTCGCACAGAAGAGGACCCAACACAGCCCAAAATTAATTAATTAATTAATTAATTAAAAAAAAAAAAAAACTGAGAGAAACTGTTTACTGGAAAAGCAGGGGAAATAAAGAAACCTACCTCTTCATAGGGAGATATTGTGAATACCAGTGTGACCAAAGACTTGTTAAGTAATAAAGCCATGTATAAATGTCAACTATGGCTTTGGGGTCCAAAATCTGAAAGGGATATAAGGTCCTCTTGGAGAAAATTAAGTAATTTAGAGGACATGTGCAGGGCACTTTTTGGTTTGGGAGTGACAATTGTTTAATGTCCAAATGGGAATCATTGACAACTAATATTTATAATTTTCAGTAAATTTATCCACGATCACCACTATCTAATTCCAGAATATTTTCATCATCCCGAAGAAACCTTGTGCCCATTTGTACTCACTCTCCATTTCCATCTCTATCCTGAGGCAACGAATCTACTTTCTAATTCTCTGTATTTGCTTTTTTCTGGATATTTCATGTGAACAGAATCATGCAGTATATGCCTCTGTATGCACCTTCCATCTGGCTTCTATCACCTACTGTAATGTTTCTGAGGTTCATCCATGTGCTGCATGGGTCGGTATGTTGTTCCTCTTTATTCCTACTCCACTGTATGATAGGGCACATTTTGTTTACCTTGTCATAAGCTGATGAACATTTTGATTGTTTCCAGTTTAGAAATTATGAAGAATGTTACTATGGACTCTTGCACACAAACCTTTGTGTGGACACCTGTTTTTATTTCTCTTGCACAGATACCTAGGAGTGGAACTGCTGGGTCATGTGGTAAATTTCCACTGAAAATTTTAAGAAACTACTGTGTTGTTTTCCACAGCAGTTGCACCATTTTCCATCCCCACCCGCAGTGTATGAGTTCCATCTCCACAATCTCGCCAACACTTATTGCCGTCTGTCTTTCTGACAGTAGCCATCCTAGAGGGTGTGAAGCGATATATCTCATTGTGGTTTTGATTTGCATTTCCCTGATGACTAATGACATTGAGCATCTTTTCATGTGCTATTTGGCCACTCCTATACATTCTTTGGTGAAATGTCTATTAAAATCTCTTGCCCATTTAAAAAATCAGGTTGTCTTCTTATTGAGTCCTAAGGATTCTCATATATTCTAGATACAAGTCCTTTACCAGATATATAATTCATATATTTTCTCTCAGTCTGTCATTAACGGTATCTTCTGAAGCACAAAAGTTTTAAATTCTGATTAGTCCTATTTACAGGTTTTGTTCTTTTATGGATCATGCTTCTAGTGTCACATCTAAGAAATATTTGCCTAACACGAGGTCACAAAGATTTACACATATGTCTTCTTCTGAGACTTTTACCGTTTTAGCTCTTATATTTAGGTCTATGGTCCATTTTCAGTTAACTTTTGTATATGATGTAAAGAAAATGTCTAAATTCATCTTTTTGCATATGGATATCCAATTGTCTCAGCACCATTTGTTGAAAAGATTATCCTTTCTCCTACTGAATTGGTTGAAAATTAATTGACCATAAATGTAAGTGTTTATTTCCACACTCACAGTTATGTTCTGTCAACCACTAAGTCTATCCTATGCCAGTACCACACTGTCTTTATTACTGTCGCTTTATCCTAAGATTCAAAACCTGGAAGTTTAAGTACCTCTAACTTCCTTCTTCTTTTCCAAAATTGTTTTGGCTATTCTGCCACCTTTGCGTTTCCAAATGAATTTTTAAGATCAGCTTTTCAATTTCTGGAAAAAAGCCAGCTGGGATTTTGATGGGGTTTGCATTGAATCTACAGATCAATCTGGAGAGAGTTTCCACCTTAATCATATCGACTCTTCCAATCCATGAATATGGAATGTCTCTTCACTTATTTACATCTTCTTATCCTTTTAACAGTTTTTTATAATTTTCAGTATACAAGCCTGGCACTTCTTTTCTTAAATTGACTCCTAGGTAATTTATTCTTTTTATGCTATTGTGAATGGAATTGCTTTCTGAAGTTCATTTTCAGATTGTTCATTGCTAATTTATAGAAACAGAACTGATTTTTGTATATTGATCTTGTATCCTGTGACCTTGATGAGTTCATTTATTAGTTCTAGCAGTTTGTGTGTGTGTGCATTCCTTAGAATTTTCTATTACAATATCATGTTGCCTGTGAATAAAGACTGTTTTATTTACTTCTTTCTTCCCAATCTGTAGGCATTTTATTTCTTTTCTTTCCTGATTACACTGTCTAGAACTTCAGTATAATGTTGAAAAGAAGTAGCTAGAGCTGATATCATTGTGTTTTTCCTGATCTCGGGAGGAAAGTATTTAGTCTTTTACCATTAACTATGCCGTTAGCTTTGGGTTTATCGTAAGTGCCCTTTATCAGGTTAGGGAATTTCTTTTCTATTCCTAGTTGGTTGAAAATTGTTATCCTGAATGAGTGTTGAATTTTTCAAATATTTGTTTCTGCATCTATGATCATGCAGCTTTGTCCTTGTTTCTATTAATATTTTGTATTACATTAATTGATCTTTTGGAAGTTAAACAAACCTTGCAGTCCTGGGATAAATCTCACACGGTCGTAACATTTAATCCTTTTTACATGTTGCTGGATTCACTTTACTAATATTTTTTGAGAATTTTTGCAACTATATTCACAAAGGATATTGATCTGTGATTTTCTTTTCCTGTGATCTCTTTGTCTGGCTTCGGTATCAGGATAATACTGACCTCAGAGAATTAGCTGAGAAGTGCTCCTGCTATGCCTTCTGAAAGTTTGTAAAGGATGGCTGTTTGTATAAGCAATCTTTCTAGCCTTCAATGTAGAGAATTTTGCACATTTTTCGTTAGATATATTTCTAGGTATTTGGTTTTTTAAAATATTTTTAGAAATGATATTTTAAAACTTCTTTTTCTAATTGCTTACTGCAGGTTATAGAAATATTATTGATCTTTGCATATTGACCTTGTATCCAATGACCTTCTCAATTCTATTATTACTTCTAATATTTTTTGGAAGATTCTTGTGGACTTTCTATGTAAAGCCATGTGAGGTGCAAATAATAACACCGAGAATAAGAGTACGTGAACAGGCAGAGTACAGATTGTTTCCGGGCGCAGGAAAATGAGCCACAGCTGATGTAAATGGAAGTGACCAGGGTGATGGGCCCGTGTGGAGGGAGGATGCCAGTGTGTGGAGGCAGCACAGACAGCTTCTTGGAGTGGCTCTAAAACATCTTCTAACAGCTCTGCGCTCCTCTCTACATCAGGGGGACCTGCTTCCCAGGGCTGCCCTCTGTGGCTAGGCAACATGCCATCACTGCCCACTCCTGGCTCTCTCCCTCTGCTCTCCTTCTCCTTCCAGGTCCCAGAATGTGGCCAAGACCCAGGTAAATGGTCAGAGGGGTTGGAGCGGGCATGTCAGTTGGAAACCACGCCCTCTGCAGCCCTCAAGTATCTGATGGCCGTGGCTCTCGTGTGATGCCCCAGAGGGTAAGCTCGTTGTCAGCAGGGACTTCACCTCATTCACCTATGAGTTCGACCTAAGTGCCCATGGCCGGGTCCGGCATGGGGCAGGCACTCAATCCCCCACCTTCTCAGGTGTGTCCGTCAGTCTGTCTGCCGAGCGGTACATCAGTGACATATTTGGCACGGTAAGCATTATTACAGTCCTCCATTAGCGGAGATGAAGATTTCACCATTTTTAATTAAATTACTTCTTCAATATACTAACACAAGCTGAGGGGGATGAACACACGGAAGCCTTCGTTTATCTTAAAGAGGTGGTCCACCCGACATGCTACAGGGTGGCTCAGCGCAGGGCGGAACGCGCCCGCTCTGGAGCAGCCGGTTCGAATCCTGGCCCCATCACTCACTAGCTGGGAGCCTCAGGCCGGGCACGCGCCCCCACGTTCCTTTCCTCAGCAAATGAGGGTGAAATGAAAGAACTGAATGAAGATAATGATAGTGTCTGCCTCACAGAGGTGCTGAGAGGCCGAAGTGAGAGAATAGGAGAAAATCACTGAAGACAGGGCCCGGCACACAGTCAGTGGCACTATTCCTGTCCATCCTGAGAGAACAGGTCATATAGGCATAAAGATTAATGACAGCTGGTGGACCAACTAAAGCGTCTCCCCCACGAAAGCAGGACCCCAAACCTTGGAATCCACACTGCAGCGGCATTCTAGATGGACAGAGGTGCGGCGCTGCAGCCTCCGGAGCAGAGAGCAAACCCCGGACCCATAGGTCCACCTCCAGGCCCTGGGAGCCTCCCCAGAGCCCTGCCCCACAGCGCAGACTGCCCCTCGCTCGGCGGACTTCGCAAGGTAGACACTGAGGCCGAGCGGCTCCGCTTTGGTACTCGCTCATGTATGAGTCTGAGGCAAAGTAATTCATCGCACTCCTGGTTAGTTACTAGAGATTCAGTTATTGGATGTGCTCAGTAAATAACTAACTTGGGAGATATTGCTATGCACCAAAAGCATCCGGATGCTGCTTTCTAAAATAAACATGGAAGTGGGACAGGAGCTAATGTTTCAAGCAGAGTCATGAATAAGCCTCCCTTTGCAGTACAACTAAGTAAGTAAACAGGCTATTTTGGAACTAAGAGAATGTTCCTGTCATGGGCTACAGTTGGCTGTGAACCCATACACTCTAGGGTGGGACGTGGGAGGGTGGGTCAGCGGGCCTGGATTAGTCCTTAAGTAAACAGCTAATGATGACTAGCCACTCCAACTTTAACAACCTTGACACACGCTGTTCTCACCCCCTGGCATTTATATTGCAGTAACTTTTATGTCTTCTATCCTCCCAACTAGACCCAGCTCTTGAGGTCAGGCTTTGTATCCCTAAGGACTCAATATTTCCTAGCATGTAACGGGAGCACAAAAGATATTTGTTGAGTGGATAAATGGACGAATATACAGTTTTTATTGGTCCTGTTTTGAGTACTAGCTTTCTTTGAAACAATGAGTTTTTCACCAGAGAAGGGTTTCAAAGTCTTACAGAGTTGGGGCTTCCCTGGTGGCGCAGTGGTGGAGACTCTGCCTGCTAATGCAGGGGACACGGGTTCGAGCCCTGGTCTGGGAGGACCCCACGTGCCACAGAGCAACTAGGCCCGTGAGCCACAACTACTGAGCCTGCGTGTCTGGAGCCTGTGCTCCGCAACAAGAGAGGCTGCGATAGTGAGAGGCCCACGCACCGCGATGAAGAGTGGCCCCCGCTTGCCACAACTAGAGAAAGCCCTCGCACAGAAACGAAGACCCAACACAGCAAAAATAAATAAATTAATTAATAAACTCCTACCCCCAACATCTTAAAAAAAAAAAAATCTGACAGAGTTGATGATCAGCAGTGCTTTCTTCAACGATGCACAGTGATCTTCATGTCTAAATAACTTTGTGATAATGTTTTCCTTGCGAAATTGATTTCTAAAGTTGATGCTACAAGAGAATTAAGAGAAAAACAGGAATAAGATTATGTTCTTGAACTTTGTTCTTAATGCAAAAAAAAAACAAAACAAAAAAAACACCACCCTAAGAACAACTATAATAGTGCTTTATTTCTGGATGGCTCCTTTCCCTGAAAGTGTCATGTGCTTGTGAGGGCCCATCTGTCACTCAGTTAACGTGGTACCTAGTAAAGGAGCTGGCATGCATGCAATTCCCATAGGCACCAATCAGCTTTGCTGAGCCATCACCCACCTCTTCCCGTGCCGACTAGCTGTGGCCAGCCCTCTTGCCGATCTGTGCCTTTGGTCTCAAAAAGGACCAGGAAAGACGCCTCGATCACTGCTGAGACAAACAGCTCCCTGTACAGGCAGCGTGCTGTAGCCCACTCGCCAACATGCTAACTGAGGGCACACATTTCCAGTGTTGAAGCAGTGAGGATGTCAACCTTCACAACCTCTCCCTCCCTGTTGACAACGGCCATGACCACCAATATTATCAGACCCATCTCCCTTTCTTGCCTCTTGCTTTCATCCCCTGAGCTCAGGGCCAGCAGTCTGCATGTACCCTTGAAGGCCCATGATCATCCATCCACTCTGGAGATCAAGGCCAACTTCACCAGGGACTCTGATCAGAAAGGGGGCTGGAGAATCTCCTAACAATATACACTTGTTGGCCGCCCTTTTCAGTGTTCAATTAGACAGTTTGACATTTTCCACTAAACAAAGAATGATCGTGAATCATACTGGCTCTGAACAACTCTCAAATTGTTTAGGGGAGTTTACTGCTGCATCTGTACAGCCGTCTTAGCTTTTACCAGTTGTGTGAGAACATATAAACACACACACCCTTACCACCACTTTTAAGAAACATATAAAGTGGCAGAGGGCTTCCCTGGTGACGCAGTGGTTGAGAGTCCGCCTGCCAATGTGGGGGACACGGGTTCGTGCCCTGGTCTGGGAAGATCCCACATGCCGCGGGGCGGCTGGGCCCGTGAGCCATGGCCACTGAGCCTGCGTGTCCGGAGCCTGTGCTCCGCAACGGGAGAGGCCACAACAGTGAGAGGTCCGTGTACCGCCAAAAAAAAAAAAAAAAAAAAAAGTCTCATGGCATTGCAAAATGTCTCCTGGGGGGCCAAGATTGTTCCCAGTTGAGAACCACTGTTTTAAAGTAAAGAAAATTCACAGGTTAATTCTTACAGTCCTGGACAAGGTGCTGTGAGACAAGAAAATTGTAAAGAAAACAAGTAATTTCACTTAAGAAATGAACTCACAGAGCCGCATCCCAGAAATGCAATGTGTGGGGAGTGCAGTGGGCTCCGAATACCTGGAAGGCTGGTGACCAGGGCAGTTCATTAAATATTCATAAATTCCCCAAGACAGGGATAGGACCCAGCAAAACGGGAATTAACTCTGTGGTACATTTTTCTTTACAAGAGCGTTTTCGATGAACATGCTGAGGTTATAAAGTCTGTTTTTTCTTTAAGATTTACATAGGGTGGTCAGTACAGGGTACACATCAAGATAAAATAGTTCTTAGAGGGAAAGTCTAAATTCGAAAATGTCATATTATTATTTTTTTATGTTTTGGGCCACCACCGCCCACCACAATTTATGTGATAAATATAAATCTGAAGTTATAACAGACGTTAGAGGGAAAACAAAAACAATGGCACTCAAGGCAAATAATCCACAATATTTGCACCATGCAGAGAGCGGCTGGAAAACAAGCTAACATACATTGCTCTTTTCCATATGATATTTAACAAATATGTGTTTGTACACAATTTTACAAGATTATACTTAGTGCTCAGAGAGTGATGTTGGCAGGGTCGGTGTGTGTACTGAGGGTATTCGGGCTCCGTTTCTGCGTCCGTGACTCACTAACCCTATGACCTAGTGAAGACCCCATATAGTCTTACTTTTTCATCTAGAAATTGGAATAATAATTATACTTACCTTATAGTTTAAGGCAGTTTTAAATAAGAAAAATATGTGGAAAATAATTTATAAGCTATATGTTATTACGCAAAAGTTGGTAATTATTCAAAGAAGACTAATTTGTCATTCAATAAATGAAGAAAAAGTAATTCAGCTATTCTCTAACCTTTTACATATTATGATATGTGTAACCAAAATTTAGTTTAGTTTAGTTTTTGTTTTACATACCTATTTCTTTTTGTCAGGGGAATTTTACTACCAGCTTCCAATAACTGAGGCTCATAAAATGATGTTAAAAATTGCTTCCAATTGACTTTAGTGGTGGTTTTAAGTCCAAATCTGGATTTAAAAAAAAACAAAAATAGTATTTTAAACATTTTTTTCTATAACGCTGCATGGATTAGATACTTAATATTGAATTGAAAATGGAAGCAGTGAATTTATATGAAGTTTCATATCTAAGGTAAACAAAAAAATTTAGTAAAATAATAGTACAAATTGGTTTTTTAAAAGCAAGGAAAAACCAAACTGATTACTACATCTCCACGCCTTTATATTCTGTTAGCAGTAGCATACACTGAAGGAAGAAACAAGGGATTTGATTAAAATTCTAACGTCCACGGAACAATCCTTTCAAATTCATTATTTGAAGAGCTCAGTTAGAGTGGTGGGCAGAATACAGGCCCCAAGGTGTTCACGCTCTGAGTCCAGAAAACAGAGAAATAAGAGGGAAGATTTCTGGAGAAAAGCTTTAGATACGCTTGGGTGAGCCCCAAGCCCAGCGCAAGGCAGGATGGATGATGTGTACCCCTCACCTCAAGCCTTGTGGAGAGAACTGCTCTACTTGGGAGTTTGCTAGATGCCCCTGCCATGGGGGGGGGGGTCTAATGCATCAGTGCCTGACGCCCTCATAGAACAGAAACCTCGCAGATGAGAGCCGAACTGCTGAGCCATTGACCGAAAATGGGGGCGGGGGCAGGTGGGGAGGTGTTGGCAAGACTGCTGGCTGACTCTCAGTCATCGGGGAAATAATGCAGAGGGTCTCGTGTGAATCTGATGTGGGCCACAAGCGAGAGAGTGAGCGTGAGCGTAAGCACACACAGACACACAGGGTCATCTAGGTCCTGCCCGAGAAGGCCACCTGGAAGAATGAACAGACCTTAATAAAGAAGGTTTTCCCTCCCTGTTTCCAGGTTCCCAGGGGCTGAGGAGGGAATAAGCGATCAGCTGAGATGGAGATGCATTCGCCTTCAAAAATCTGTGGATGTGACAGCGAGCGTGAAGCCCAGAGAGACAGTAAAGACTCTCATGAAAGGAAACACCTTCAGACAGACACCTGTTAGGGCCAGAAAGTGCAGTTTCCAGCTCACAGCAGAGCCAGTCCAATAGGAACCTTCCTCTCCCTGCTCTTTCTCTCCTTCCTCTGGGCATTCCAGGTGTGGAGGAGTCAGAACCCGCGTTTGCAACATGAGGAAGGAAGAGAAGTGCAAAGCGGAGACAGGGAGAAGCAGCCATCTGTGTCCCCTTTATTCTTGCCTGCAACAGACCCTAACTGGGTAGGGAACACAATTCACATTTAAATCAAGTCTACAGCTTTGACCATAATGTGAAACTGGCTATTGCAATTACTAAGCTGAGGCTCTTTGTGTGATCTGAAACAAACCAAAAAATCAAAGTCTGCTCATGCTTTCATCCAAGGGAAAAAGAACTAATCCAGCTGAGAAAATTTAAAAGGACAGTGGGCAAGAAAATTAAGTTGCCTTAAGATTACAGTCCATGAGCCTTGCCAACTCAACTGAGGTTACATTTGCACGCATCCATCCAACTATCCATCCATTCATCCATCCATGTATGGCGCCAAGCCACCATCTTTCCTCACTTGAATTACTGCTATAGTATCCTAACTGGTTTCCTTGTACTTACTCTTGCCTTCCACCAATATATTAATATTTTCATACTTTAACCAGCCTGCACTTTTTGAAATGCATATGTGATCAGATTACTCTCTTGCTTAAAATCTTTCCATGCCTCCCCACGGCTCTTAGGATGAGAATTAAAATCCTTCGGTAACGTACAGCTTGCACAGTTTGACCCTGCTCACATCTCCAGCCTCATCCCATATCGCGCTGCCCCTTGCTCTCTTGACTACGGCCATGCTGGTCCTTTGGTTCTTCAAAAGGCTTGCGCTCTTCCTCGCCTCAGGCCTGTATGCTTGTTGCTGCCTTTGCCAGTTGCCACATTCTCCCCACTACCTACCTCCCCCACTTTAGGTGGTTAATTCCACTCCTCTTTCAAGTCTCAACTTAATCATTACTTTCTCCAGGAAGCCTTCCCTGATTTCCCCAACCAGGCGCTATTTGCCCCATTGCACTAGGTCTCTATCCTTTACAGTATTTATCCCTACCCAAGTATTAATAACATTCGCAGTCAACGCTTGTACAGCACTTTATGATTATGGCTATAGCAGCTAATGCTTGATTGGTTATTACTTCTACTTCTGCTATTAGCACCATGTATGTGGTCATGAGGAAGAGAGAGAATTGACTGACTAATTGATTTCATTACACGCACATGGCAACATATAATAAGTAGGTTGTGACGGTGGCTTAATTCACTGCTGTTCGCATACAAAACAAAGTTTCATCTTTCATACTCAATCTTGCTTCCCCAAACTTTGCCCACTGTGTTGATACAGTTTGTTAATGCTGTGTATTTTCACCTTAAGTTTCAGCAAGTTAAAAATTAATTTTCTATATTGGAAACACTGTGGCTACTATTAAAATTAGAATCAGTTGCATACATTATGTTTAGGAAATTACCTTGCTCTTTGGTAAAAATATCAAATTAGATCTTCACTACATACCATATACTAAAATAAACTCAAAAGAGATCAAAAAGTTAAATGTAAAAGCTAGGACCATTGAAAAATGAAAAAAAAAAATCTAGGCGTATATTCATCTGGTATTTGAATGAGAATGGAATTTTAAGCAAAATTTAAGAAATCACAAACTTACTTAATTACATCAAAATAAAAAATTTCTGTATACCAGAAATATTAAAACAAAGTTTAAGAGCCAAACAAAAGACTTATAAAGTTACCTATAATAATTATGCATGACAAATTGTTAATAGTCTTAAAACACAAAGTACTTATACAAATTAATATGAAAATATTAACTTCTTTCAGTAATGGTGGAATAAGATCCTGTTGGACCAATCCTCTTACAGATAATAACAAACTCTGGGCATAATATCAAAAGAAGCTACCTAGGGCTTCCCTGGTGGTGCAGTGGTTGAGAGTCCGCCTGCCGATGCAGGGGACACAGGTTCGCGCCCTGGTCCGGGAAGATCCCACATGCCGCGAAGCGGCTGTGCCCGTGAGCCATGGCTGCTGTGCCTGCGCGTCCGGAGCCTGTGCTCCGCAACGGGAGAGGCCACAACAGTGAGAGGCCTGCGTACCCCCCCCTAAAAAAAAAGTAGCTACCTAAAAGCACTATAGAGTGAACAGAAGTGGGCAAACTCTGGTGGGAAATCTATACTGAGAGGAACTGAGTTGTGAGGAGTATTTTCAGTGCATCTAGCCCAGGAACAGGCACTGCAGCATGAGGGGTGGCACAGGCACCAGTACAAAAAAAAAAAGTGGCCTTTATAGCCTGGAAAACTAGAAGATCAAACCCAGGTAAATCATAAACCTAGAGAGAAAGAGGAAATCCTGGAAGAGAAAGAGCCAGAGAGGGGTCCCCAAATTCTGTCCCACCACATTTCTGGCTGGCTCCTGAATCTCACGCGATCAGAACCTACTCAAAATAGCTTAGCTAAACACAAAAGATCTGAATTAAGATCAGAACTGCCACCCAAGAAACAGAATATGCAGCTTGAGTTCAAACAAGATAAGTATGCACTAAAACAAAAGAAACAACATTCATTGAAACAGTAATTATAACAGAACTTATAGTCTCCATGATTTAACATTCAAAATTTCCAGGATAGAATCTAAAATTACAGGAATACAAGGAAACAGGAAAACGGAACATTAGTAAGGAGAAAATAAAGTCAACTGAGAGGAATCCCAAATAACCCAAATGTTGGTATCATCAGACAAGGGTTTTAAAATCAATGATTATAAGTATCATCAATGAAACAAATGAAAACATGCCTAAAATGAGTCAAAAGATAGGAAATCTCTGGACTTCCCTGGTGGTGCAGTGGTTGAGAGTCCGCCTGCCGGTGCAGGGGACGCGGGTTCGTGCCCCGGTCCAGGAAGATCCCACATGCTGCGGAGTGGCTGGGCCCGTGAGCCGTGGCCGCTGAGCCTGCGCGTCCGGAGCCTGCGCTCCGCAGCGGGAGAGACCACAGCAGTGAGAGGCCTGAGTACCAAAAAAAAAAAAAAAAAAAAAAAAAAGACAGGAAATCTCAATAGAGAAATGGATATAATAAAAAGAACTAAATGGAAATTTTAGAATGATAAAAATACTACCTAAAATTTTTTTAAAAATCACTTGACAGAATTAAGAAAAGAATGGAGAGGATAAAGGGGAGAATGAGTGAACTTAAATACAAATCAACCAAAACCACCCAATATAACACAGAATACACATATATTTATAAAATGAATAGAGTCTCAAAGACATAATATAAGACAGTCTTACATACATGTAATTGCAGTCACAGAAGGAGAGAAGAGAAAGAATAGGGCAGAAAAAACACTAATACTTGAAGACATAAAAATGACAATTTCCCCCAAATTTAATTGATATACATTTACAGGTTTAAGATGTTCAGCAAACACCAAGCAGTATATCCACGGAAAAGGCCAGGCCAAAGCACGTCACAGTTAACAAAGCTGAAAGTCAAATTCAAAGGGTAAATCTTGAATGCAACAAGAGAAAAATTACTCACTACATACAGGAGGACAGAGATTTAATAAATGACTTCTCATCCAAAACACTGGAAGCCCAAAGGAGTGGAACATCATAATAAAGTGCTGAAAGAAAGAACAGTTACCCAAGAGTTTTCCATCTCAGAAAATATCAGTCAAAAACGAAGGAGAAATAAACACATTCCTAAATAAAACTAAGGGAATCCATCTTTAGTACACCTATACCTCAGCAAAGGAAGTTCTTCAGGCTGAAGGAAAATGACAGCAGATGGGGATCATGGCTCCTCAGAAAGGAATTAAAAGAGGGTTAGAAATAGTAAATATCTGAAAAATTTTTAAAGGCTATTTTTTTGCTTTTTTTTTTTCTTATTTGTTTATGGCTATTTAAAGCAAAAAAAAAAAAAAGAAAGAAAGAAAGAAAAAGAAAAACCCACATTATTTTGTGGGGTTTATAACATAG